CATTTTCACAGTTCTTTGCAGATTTTTGTTAATTTGATCAAAAAAAACTGTGACGATCTGCATATTTGCAGATCGTCACAGATCTGTTATCTCCCGAATTTCCCGATGTTACAAGATCCAATAAGATCTATTAAAATATTATTATAGTAGTAATATAAAACTATTAATTTCAACAATAGTTAAAAAATATAAAATACTTAAAAGTATTCATATAATAGCAAATATTTTTCAAATTATTCTATCTTTTACTTTACTTTTTATCTTTTATTTTACCTTTTTTTTATTTTACTTTTTATCTTTTATTTTATCTTTTATTTTTTATTTTATTTTCTAATTTACTTTTTACTTTTATTATATTTTTTAATTAATGATTTTATTTCTTAGATAATTATTATTATTTGAAATTGTATTTTCAAAAAATATATAAATAAAGATGTTATTTGAGTCTTAACTTGATAATATTGTAACTGAAAATAAAAATTTCTCTTAACAAAATCTTCTTTTAAATATCTCTTACCTCTCATATTTTCTTTATATACTTTAAATCTTGTATATAAGTGATTTTATATTATATTATATTTAACAAATTACTAATGATTTTATATTATATTACGCAAACTATTTCTTTATTATTCTTTTATACTCTTTTTTTATCTTTACTTTTTCATAACTCTTTTATATTATTATTCTTTTAGTAAATACAATTTTTATAGAAATTGGCATAAGTTTTAGATATCCCTTCATTTTCTCTTAATATTTTTATTAATTTATTACTCTTTTCCAATTCAGATTCAAGTTTGTAAGCTAATTTAACAATTAGTAAACAAACTTATAATAATATTCTTTTTTTCCTTTGATTTTTACTTTCTTATAACTCTTTCATATTATTATCTCTTTTAAATAAATACAATTTCTAAAGAAATTGATATAAATCTTAGATAATTTTCTTTTTCTTTTAATATTTTTATCAATTTATTACTCTTTTCCAATTCAGATTCAAGTTTGTAAATTAATTTAATGATTAATAAACAAACTTATAATAATAATTAAAAGGTTATTCAATTTTAATTAGATATAAAAATTCTTTAAATTATTAGCTTTTGTTAAATTGACAAGTAGAATAAGATTTTATATATTAATTTTCATTTTATTTCATTAATTAAAGTTTTGAAAAAAAGTTTAATTCAGTTCAAGCTTGAACTAGATTTAAATTTGATCAAAAGTTCAGTTCAAAAATTTGAACCTAATTAAAAGTCTGGTTCAAGTTTGATTTGAACTTCAAATCAAACTTAAATCTAATTAAAAGTTTAGTTTGAGTTCAAGTAAATATTTGTTAATATTCTAAGTAAAGTTATAGATCTTAATATGAGTTACAAATTAATATAAGATAGTTAATATTAAGGATGAATATTTAAAAAATAATTTTGATTATTATAATTTTATTCTACTTTATTTTTAGTAAACAAATATTTATTTTGTTAGAATAATTATAAACTATAATTATAAGTAAAGTTATAATTAAAAATAAAAACTATAAATTGATATAAAGATAGTTATCATTAATAATTATTCAGAGAGTTATATAATATTTACAATCAAATTTAATAAATATAAAAATAAAAATACTTTACTTATAAGTTCAATTTATAGTATTTAATAAGAATTAAAAGTTTATATAATAATAATCAAAGTTGTAACTTGATTTAAATTCAATTTGAACTTCAAATCTTTTTTGAACTCAAGTTAAAGTTCAGTTCAAGTTTGATTTGAATTTTGAATTGATCTTAAATTCAAGTAAAAGTTTAATTCAGTTCAGTTTATAAAAATATTATTATCAATATTATATAGCTATTTATTAATAAATTCTATTATATTCAAAATGTTCAAATAGAGAATTTTTATATATTTCTTTTATTATTGCTTCTATTTCAGTTTCTTTTAATACTTAAAGTGAATTAACAAAATTTTTTCATCAATTAATTTTGAATAATAATTTATTTTGTACAATAAAATATTTGAATTATTATTAAATTTATTTTTTTTATTATTTATTAAGAATTGAGTTATAAGTTTTGTTGTCCAAAAATTGAAATATGTTAAGTTTATTTTTGATAGTATTAGTTGATTAAAGTATTAATAATTAGCAAAGTTTATTCAGAATAATGTGTCAGTATTTTGGTTTACTTATTCAGATCAATAATTAATTATAAAATTATATTTTATTATGATAGTAATCCATTAAGAGATCCTTGATATTGAATTAATTTGTTTATTAAAAAGCTATTAAAAAGCTATTATAATATATTATAATTAGTTATGATTTTAAATATTGTCCCAAATAATATCTAAATTATCAAACAATTCAGATTACAGCTAAAGCTTCTTTTTTAGTAATACTATATTAGATTTTAGCTGGTTTAAGAGAGACACTTGAATATGTGATTATTCATTCTTAATTTTAATTATCTTTTTGTAAAAGTACTGCTACAATAGTAATAATAATTTCATAAATTCAAGAAAAAATTACAATTTTTAAAAATAATAGAAAAACAGAAAATTTCTAAAAATATGGAAATAGTTAAAAAAATATTTTATTAAATATTATTTTATTTTTATTTTATTTTTATTTTACTTTATTTATCTTATTTTACTTTATTCTATCTTATTTTTATTTTATTTTACCTCATTTTTATCTTATTTTATCTTACTTTTATCTTTATTTTATTTTTATTTACCTTATTTTATCTTATTTTACCTTATTATATTATATTTTATTTTATCTTTATTTATCTTATTTTATTCTAGTTTATCTTATTTTATCTTATTTTACCTTTTAATCATTTTATCATTTGTTTTTATTTTATCTTTTCAATTAGTTATTTTACTTCTTTAACCCTAACTCTATAATCAACTTTTGGGTAATTGTTATAGCTGCACCATCAACCTGGCACACATTCCAGGAGTGCATTTAGGACACTTTAGGACTTACGTATATGATAATTCAAAATCCGAAATATTTAGAACTTTGAAAAGTACTTTAGCCCGGATCATAGCTGACTCTGAGAAAAATCTTGCGCGTTCTCACAACAGTTTAGAACAAGCTTGAAACAAAAAGAAAATATATACTTTATTCATAAAAAACAATAATGAGTGATAAATAATATGAATGCACTGTTGTTACTATGTAAAGGAGTATATAAGAAGAGTAACGTAGTACAATCTTTGATTATTATACTCACATGTATGTTTGATAATCAGACTCATCAAACTTAGAAGTATAAAGAATGATTATACTTATTATACTTGCACGTATGAATATTGACCAGTTAATAGGAGTGCGAAAATTTTTGTCAATAACCGATAAGAATGCACAAATTTTTGATCAACTCGGTAAAACAAATCCGATTCAAAGCGATGAAAAAAGTGATATTACAGGAAAACTGATGCATACATCTATCTTGGACTATTAATTAAAATGTAGGGAAGGCAATTTTACATATAATCTTGTTTCCTCACCCAATACCTTACCCTTATTGGCTCTAGTCGGATGTAATGAAAATTCAGAATCCAAATTAGGAAATTTGAAATTTGGTTCAGTAAAACTGGTCAACATAGCGATAAAGCTAAATATAACTTATATATTAGCGTTAGTACATGTACTACAGCTACGTAATATATAGGATAGTATACAAAGAATAGTATACAATTCGTATAATCGACTCAAATTTCTATTATTCATATATGTATGTCATACGCTTTTCTAATTTTGTTAACCTACGTAACGGTCTTTATGGTTCCGACTATACACCTTTACACAATACCGGTTGTTACGTTATGCCTCCTGTTTTTCTTCTTATTTTTTTTAACCTTTATAAGGAGAAAAAAAGAAGCGGAGAAGACGAAAAGGTAAAGTAACTGAAAAAAGAATATAGAGATGTGATGATTTCTTACCCCCGGTCATAAGTAACTGATCCTGAAAATTATGTTCATAAACTTCCGTGTGTTATGAAATGACTGATTACGTATACGTATTTGGGATGCGAAAGTTTATAATGTTCTTTGTGCTCGGAAAATTTCAGAACATTATACATGTACATAATTTTTGGAAATCAGGGTCAGTTACTTATGACCGGGATTGTAATTTGAGTTTGTCAATTAATATCGAGCACATCAAACGTTTGTATTTTACAAAATGTATAAACTTCTTTACAAAGAAGTAAATGCAAAATTTAATCCGTGAATATGATAGAATAGGCCCTTTCTGAACATATTCACGGATTAAATTTTGTATTTACTTCTTAGTAAAGAAGTTTATACATTTTATAAAACACAAACGTTTGATGACTTTAGATGTTATGCACCATATAATAATAAATTACTATTCTTCCAATGAAAATCATTAGTCATAGCAGAATTATTCGATATCCAAATTAATAACGATAATAAGCAGTAGAATGTATTCAACCCAATATTTTCAGCTTATCATTATCGTTATCGTTATAGTCAGTCAGTCATTTAACTTTTATTGCGAGATGTAGATCTTTAACTAATCTAATTTAAAAGTGAACAAAAAGGTTAATTTGTAGTGTTAAAATGTTGTTGTACATGTAATAAGATGAAAATTTCATTTTTTGATACATGTATTTACTAGGAAACATATAAGTGTAACCAACCATACTGAATTAAGTCAATACAATGTATTAAAATCGTTGTTAAAATTATTCTTAAGATGAGCTTAATTGATAAATCTGTTAAGGAAATACCGGCTTAGCAGTGTTGTAAATATACATATATATAAATCTATATTTCTTAATAAACTTTTTCTTCATGCTCACCTCGTTCGCGTATGAGAATAAATAAAAATTCTTGAAATCTAATTCTAATAAGGTGAAGTAGAAAAATGCGTTGTCTATTCTTTTAAACAAAACTCTATTCATCATGAGAATTTAACACGAGTTTAGCAAAAGCATCCCGATATATCCCATTTGCATTTCCCCAAGCTTCCTTTCCGACCGCTGCGAATTTCCCCCATAATTTTGCAGGAATTCTTTTCTTATAAACTTCGTTCTCAAATGCAAGTCGAAATAACCCAAATGCGCTTTCATCGATTTGATCGTTAACCAAAGATTCCTGCAGAGAACTGTTTCCCGTTTTTATTTCCCGAAATAACCCAAATGCACTTTCATCGATTGGATCGTTAACCAAAGATTTCTGCAGAGAACTGTTTCCCGTTTTTATTTCCAAGAGTTCTTTGAGTGTTGGCACCAGGATATCAATGGTTAGATCATCCGAAAATTTTACTCTCGCGTATTGGTTGTTACACATTGACCGTTCATCATTTGAAGTAAGTTTATGACCTTGAATCGTTTGCGTTGTTGCGAGAGGAGACATTTTTAGAGGAGGCGAATTGGTTTACGACTTGTATGGGAGAGAGAGTGTGTATTTGTTTTTGAAAACAAATTATGGGACAATGGAAAAAGTATATTGTTGTAGCTTTCGTAAAGTAACTTTTTTGTATTTTTATGTTAAAGACGTCCCTCTACATACAATTATGTATTTGTTATATGGAGGTCGCAACTCCCTAAAGTTGATGAAAAATCTGATTCAAAGTAAGTTTAGCGTCACTTTTTATACTTTTTATTTATGATATATTATTATTGCCGAATTTATCATCTTATATATTACATATATTTATTACATAAATGTTGGCTGTTTTTGTCACACGATATTTGCAATCTCCAAATAAACAAAGGGTCTTTTTATTTCATTATCGAGCTGTTAACAAACATATTATACCAGATATCACATTACATGTGTTACGCAATAATTTACATGTATCATTAAGTATGCTATGACTTGATGAATTCGATCATTGTTCTCTGCTTCAATGCCTTTTCCGGGTGACAATATCTATACGTGAAGCATGGTATTTACGTCGACGCTAAACCATTTTATCGAAGTGTGTTTTCATTTCTAATCTAGTTTCGGTGCTTGCACTACCGATACTTTTAAAGTCCAAATATAATCGGTGACCTTAGAAAATCATTCTCACACAGCAGTTATCACGAAAGATGCGCCCCTTGCAGGGCAAAAAAAAGACGACATTAACTATTTAAATGACGATTAAATCATGTTTGGTTTCAGAAGTCGAGTTTTAACCGGGTGTACGTGTCGATTACCTGGGTGACCCGGGTTGCATTTTTTTTGGATGGGTTTAATCTCTAATAAAAAGCATTTTCCAAAACAAAAGCAATTATTTTTTTGGTGGTGTATTTCAAGAAACAACGCTTAATACATGTATATCAAATTGCACCAACATTTATCTTTAAACGGAAAATGAATCTCATTTGATCAAATCGATGAGATCTCGCGAAGCTATAAGAAAAGCTTTAGCAATAGTAACAGAAAAACAAATTTCGAGACAAAGGTATTACTCATTTCCACGTAAAAATAAAGATCAATCTGCATATACAGAGATACAAAGGCAAACTCGATAAACTGAACTTCGATAATTCAAACTTGGATAACCGGTTAGTTTCAGTAATTCGCCTTAATACTAAATAGATCTTTATAACCAGATTTTTGAAAAGTTGGAATATCTTCTGGAGAAGGCAACATAGTAAAACTGAAAACTATTTAATACGATCGTACCTCATGAATTTTATGGTGCTAAGAGTGAGAGTATTTTTCAAAAGAAACTTTTATTGTATACAAAAATAATCTTCGAGATTTATTATGAAACTATCAACCTTTCTATTATTAATTTTTGTTTTAACATCAGTATAGTGATAGTTAAATTGGTTAATAAATATAGAACAGATAAAATCAACCAATGGCATTTTAGAATTGGGATCCCTAAATACCAATAGAAATTTCTTTAAGTAAAATTTTCTTGTGCATGTACGTACCTGAAATCGATCTACACACAATAAAAGTTCTCGTCTTTTCGATGAATACTGTATTCTTGAATGAATGAAATATGAAGGTAAACATTTATAAGCTAATTGCAAGGAGAAGTTGAAAAATGGGAAAAACTTTGATTTCAGCAAGAAATCAAATAATTATAAAATGATAACGAGATTTCAATTTTATGATGTTGTTTTCTTCGCATCTTTGATCTATCGGTCTTATATCGAAGCATGAATTAAAGGTAAATTTATAGAAGCTAATTAATTCGTTTCAATAACAGCCAATAGGAAATTATCAGCGTCAACCGGATAAGTTCAATTTTACATATACTCTTGCCCTCCTAAACGCGTATCACATGACCAGCAACGCTTAGCGCATTCCCTAATTTGGGAGTGACCAATCCAATTGCAAGATAAAATTTTCTTGTGTGTACAAGATGAGTCGACTGGTTAACCAAAGTTAACTGTAAAAAAAGAACTGATTAGGATCATTTTTGTTTTTGCTCATACAGGGACCAGAAAAGTACGACTGGTTTGACTTTGATCTTTGTTTTTATTGTACGTACGTACATGTACGTATTGCTATCGCTATTGGCTAACGCTAAAGAAAACAGAGATTGATTTTTATATTTAAACGATCATTATAACAAATAATTTGTTTTTTTGTCCTTTAACCCATAATATACCAAGAAAATTTAAAAAGATGGAGTTATCAATATTATGTTTACACTTAATACTCGTTGTCTCAATGTCAAGCGCGCAGTTATCCTTCTCTCCTGAAGAAATAAAGAATGCAGGGGCTGGAGTATTAATTGACAACAAGATTATCATCTTTGATAGTATCGACTTTACAAACACTCATGCGTTTTCTTTGGATCTTTCTAAAGATTGGACTACAACTACACCAGAATTTACAATTTATAATTTAGTTTCTGCACCAACGTTTATAACAACAGCATTTAGCGCACAAATAAAAGGTGACCACGCCGTAATATATGCTTTTGGCGGGAACATTGTAAGTTTATGCAAATTGGTTGCTTCATTTTTTGAAAAAGTTTAAATTATACTTTTTTAATATAGCCGAAAAACGGAAATTTTTCGGATCTCATTTACACAAATGATTTTTATAAAATTGATGTCAACACTTCACCTTTTTCATTTTTGCGTGTTGATTCCGGAGACATTGCGCCCAAAGCTCGCGCGTCTTCTGTTATTGATGAAAAAGGAAAACTTTATATATGGGGTGGCATTACTGCTCTAGATGAATATACAACTGTGGATAAATATATGTATATATTTGATACCTTTGATTCAACATGGAGAAAGATTCTACCATCTTATGTTCCAGCGCAAAGATCACAATATACTTCAACGCTTAAAGATGGTAAAATTTATTATATTGGAGGCTTTTATTCAGATCATATAGATTATGCAAAGGCTGATATTCGACAAGTAAATTAAATTTATTTCTTATTTTCTATGTAAAGTAACATTACTTATGTATTTTTCTTTTAAAGATTTTGATATATGACACGCTCAATGATACTTCCCCATGGTCTTTAAAAGTAAGAATAATAAAAAAAGCAGAAATTAAATTTATTAAATTTAAATGTTTTTTTTTTATTAATTAAAAGACTGCAACCAATAAAACAAATATTAGTGACCGATTTGGGCATTCGGCAGTTCTTGGTAAGAAAATACTTACTATTGATAACTAACATATTTTGATTACGTAAAATTAAACTAATATATTAATTTTAGCTCCTGATAATCGAAGTATCATTATATTTGGTGGATTAAAAGTATTTAGTGACACAAGAACAGGTTCACCGGATGAGGATATAAAAGATTACTTGATTACTTTGGATCTCGAAACCTTTGAATTATCAGAGCTGAAAACTCAAAACAAACTTAACATCGATGATATACCAGGGGGTCATACTGGTGTTATATACAACAATTTTTTGATCGTAACTTTTGGTAATTCATAAATTTTGCAAATTTTAATATAAATTAATAATTAATTTTCAGTTTTTCAATTTAAGGCGCATATCCGACTAAAAGTGTTACTCGAAAGTATATAAAACTCTTGGATTTATCTCAAAAGGATTATGTCTGGGTTGATAAATATATTGCTCCAATTAATACTCCAACAACTTCAACAACACCTCCACCTCCACCTTTAACCCCAACTCCATCGTCAACACCGCTAAACAAAACTATAATCATATCAGCAGCAATAGGATCATTTGTTTTTGTTGTGGCAGTTGCGATATGCTTTATATTTTTTTATCGTAAAAAACATAGAAATCAACAAACTGCTATTCATAACAATAGATTGCAGACTCAACCCAATACTGTGTTATCTCACAATATACCCACAATTGTAATTCAACACGCTACTACACAAATTCCGTTTGATCCGAATACCACTTTAGCTTTTAAGTCCTGATCATGATTTTCTTAATTTACAAAAATAGTTTCTGTTTCAGTGTATAATTAAATTTTATAAATTTCAATTATACAGTTATCGTTATTATAAAAAAATTGCAAACCGATCTAAAGCATGACTTTCATTTAACACAACAATAATATCGATATTGATTTACATGAAATTCTAATGTTAATTACGTATAAATGACTGTTCATTTAATGTAAACTTACGTATACATTTGATCAGTTGTGTTCTGTTATTTTTCATACATAACATTAATGTTAACAAACACAGCATCCAATTTTTACACACAATAAATAAATGTCTCGTCGTTTCTAAGAATACTGTATTATTGAATGGATGAAATATGAAATTAATTAATTCGTTTTCAGTCACAAATAAATAGCAGCAAGTAATAAACTATCAGTGTCAACCGGATAAGTTTAGACAAATAATAACACTATAAAAAGCTTGCTTCAGTACTTTATAAAGTCTATTTATTACAATAACAAATCATAATTGTTTTGAATTCTCCAAAGAAAAACCTACCGTTACGTAACACACAAAAGTATGTACGAAATGACAAAGCAAAAAAATTTATATATTTAAATCACATGTATTTTTTACTTCGGTATAGGTCACCATGCATTACTATATTTCCGCCTAAGAACTGACACCCCGAAATGCTCATCTAATTTTAACTTCAATAAAATTTTACTTTCTGTATATTTAATTTTGTTTAGTCGTTTTCTACGTTAACGATTTTTGGCGATGCATTGAGGGATAGTTTTCCATGTTATCTAAGAGCAATATTCAGTTTATGAATATATTATATTCGATAAACTTATTGATTAATTACGAATTTTAATAATGTAATTTAAAAAAGCACAGAGATATTACAATTGATTCAATATAATATATATTAAAACAAAAGAAATTTACGAAATTATAAAAAAGTTCTTATAAACAATTTGTATGATGCTCTTATATAGAATGTACTTATAGAGGACTGTATTCAATTATTATACTTACTAACAAGCATTTGTATAAATTGGTGTTTGACACCTGTTTTCCCAGCTCTACGTGACTTTAAACAGCATTTTAAAGCCGAATGAATATCTTTTTAGGTGTCCTTTCCTTTGAAATAACATCAACTCGTCTTGAATCCATCTCCGAATTTCGATTAACACTTGTATGCATTAGCCATATCTTTCCTACACCCAATTGAATATTGATAACAGGCTCACAGATGTTGACATGCTACCACGTACATGCCAAAACCCAGAACAATGTGAAATCGCCAAAAGCAATCGAGCATACATTTCGTCTTGATCTGCTAATTGATGAATCGAATTTCGATTCGGGATAATTGCGTCTCTAATCGTTTGGAAACTGATCAAAAGCCAAGAACAGTGACATGCAAAGGCAATAATTAATTTAACAATATTGCTTGAAGATTTCGATCGGATAGATGGTTTTGTACTAAATAATATGTAAGTTTTCTCTGATATCTGAAAATGAAAACTTGATCCATAGAGCTGTATAAATCCTAATAAATTTTCAGAATAATATCAGGATTTGTTTTTTTTCAGACTTTGGTGCGAGAAATTCAATTAAGAGAGGGGATATTGTGACTAGGGTTGTTAATCGGTTTGAAGCAAATCGCTTAACTGCAGTTTAAACTCAAACCGATAAAAAGTGGTTTAACTTGGTTATTATCGTTATTATTTAGTTAAACCATAGTTTAAACTGCAGTTTGAAGATTAATTATATATTTAATAAATATACATGTATATGCATACAATTACAAACTTAACAATTACAAATTTAACAATTGTTACTTTATTTAGTTAAACCCTAGTTTAAACTGCAGTTTGAAGATTAATTATATATTTAATAAATATATATGTATGCATACAATTACAAACTTAACAATTAAGTAATTTGTTTAGAGCTTGTTCTTGTTCTTCAGTCAATTCTCATTGTTCTACTGATTTGTTATTTTCTTTTTCTTGGTTAAGAAAGAATGTATTGATTTTTTCATTGCCAGTTGATCCAAATTCACCAGTTTCACAGGTAGATTCTCCAAGTTCTTGTCGAGTGGGAATGGGTTTCATTCTTTCAATCAGTGTGAGTTGTAAAAATATTGCTTGAACAATTCATTCTTGTAGTTGGATAGTATATGGAACTTGAGAGTTATTATATAACAATACTTCAATATTTCCAATATAATCAAAGTCAATAGTTCCAGCTTTCACTTTAATTCCTTTCTTATCAAAGAGGAGTGAGACATAAGTTGGCATACAGTTCCAGGAGGTATTTTGAGTATGATAAATAAATTGATATAAGTGATTTACTAAGATTGTATTTTAATTGATTCTTCTCTAGTATATTTTATATCAAATTCAGCATTATTTTCATGAACTTTTTGAGATATAGCATCTTTGTTGTCATTATTATAAATCTTGATAGCCAGGTTTGCTTCTTTTTGAACTGATAACTTGTTGGAGTTAGTGATATAATAATATTGAAGTATTTCATCAAGTTCATCAATCATTTGGTTTTCTATTTTGGTTTTAACTTTTGAAGCCAATTATTGTAAGAAGGTAATCATGTTTTCAGCTTGAATTAATATTTCTTTGAGTTCAGAGTCTGATTTCAGATATATTGATACTTTATCCTTGTTAACAAATAGAATAATTTCTGGAATTTTGAGTTCTTGACAATCTTTACATTGATTGCTATCACAGAGAATCAAACATTCAGTGCATAGTTTAACATTGATATATTTTAATATAGTAAGTTATATACATTATTCTGATAAAATTTGTTGATAAATTTGTTGGATTTATCGACAACTTACTCATACGATTAGCCAGTTCTTCATCTGAGTCAACTTCAGCATTTTTTGACACATTCCCTCCATTTTTCTCTGCGGAGCAGGACACTCTGTGTCTAGGCAAGAAGAAAGAAAATTTATCAACTATTCCTTTAGTAATTGTATCTATTAATGATTGTAAAGTAGATGAACCTGCTAAAGCACTAAGACGATTTGTTATTTCATCCATTCGAATTCATTCTTGATCATTCAAGCGTAAAAGTGAATCTCGATATATTTTACCTGGTTCCATTTGACCAACTGCCTATTTTGCAATTGAGAAGCAGTCTGCGAAGAAACAGGTTGAGATTGTGAAGATGCCATAATACCTTTCACCAGATTTTCAATTTCTTCTTTGGTCATATCTGTGTTATTTGTTATATAAAAATCTTTTGTATTAGCTATAGATCGTGAACGAGAAGTGACTGAATGAGAATTGGGATCATACTGCCCTAACATCAATTCAGCTTTCTGTCTTTCAATTTGTTCTAATTTTGATAATAAAGTGGAAATCAGATTTTCAAGACCAATACGTCTTACTTCTAATTTATTGTCAGGGAAAAGATCTTGAAAGAATTGCTATCTAATTATTTCTTTCCAATTTAATGCTGGGAGTGTTGGATAAGCAAGTACAACTATTATTTTTAATTGTGCATAAAATCAGCCTATAGGATCAGTTCCTTGAGTGATATTATTAAATACAACTTTTGATTTTTCAGCAGTAATCATTGGATAATTTGTTCTGAGCCAGTATATTACTTGTCCAATACAAATATCAGGAATAATAGTATTATCTCCTGCATTAGTATTGGGAGCATTAGAAGCTAAATCTGTTGGTTGTCCACCAGCTATTAATCAATTTTTATCAAAAACAATATGTGCTGGCACCAATGATGTAGTAATTGTATTGTTGTCAGCTGGAACTGTATTTCTTATTTGAAGAGCTCCGTCTCTAAACTGATTAACATTAATGACACGCAATGCATTATTATTGGCCAACCCATTGATAGCGCTAAGATTTGCAAGACCTGTATTGTCACTAATATTTTGCAATTCACAATTTTTATTCTTGAGATGAGTTTCATAAAAATCTTTTGCATCATCTCTTAAACAAGTCTCAAAAAGTTCATGAATTCTTATTTTGGTTCGAGTATTTGCTAGTGGATCAAGTCTGGATGCTTCACAATATTGTCTAAAATCTTTAATCCATTTTCAGGATCTTCTCCAGCTTTTTCGTAAAATGGGGGTGGTGCATATCCTGCCATTCTTTTATAATGGTTATTTATAGGTTGATTATTCTGAAGCGCAAAAAATTTGTTGATTCAAATTCAAAATTAGTTGCTGTGAATTGCGCTCCCTATTTTTCCACTTGATATGACTTGCCTTCCGATTCTTGAATTTATTGTAATATCTATTAAAGATTCAATCTCAATTATATTCTAATAATTCTTTATTAGCCCGGTATTGTTGAAGCTTTCATTCTAAGTAATGAATAGATATTTTATAAATAATTTTGAGAGAATACCTAAGTTTAGATTGTTCTTCTAATACTAAGGTAATATTATGTCACAAATGCCCTCGCAAATTATATCTTTATTGTACTTCTCTACCATGCCTTTGGCACCTCCAAAGTTTAAAATTTAGTACAAATTTGTTAAGTAATAGAGCATTGACACGTATTTGCATTCCATTTTTTATTTTTTGCGCAATTCCCCTCCAGCGATAACATTCTCCCTGTTCATTATTAAGATTCTGAGTAAGTTGATTAACATGGTTTTGTAAGGTATTACGTTCTTGTGTAAGCCGTTGATTACGATTTTGTAAAGTAATACCATCTTGAGTGAGCTGGTTAATATGATTTTGTTGAAGTATATCTAGCTATCTAAAATAATTAACATCCTGTTGTAGCTGGACTATCTGATTATCTCTGTCATCTCGTTGAGCAATAATACCATCTATATTCTGGTATACAGACTGGTAATTATGCTGAACAATATTCAAGAAATCTCTAATGCCTTCTATAATATTGATAGAATTATTTAATGGTGTTCCAGCACATTTAAGGTGATTTTCAATACGAGTCAAGTCTCGTTCGATTTGTATAAAAAGATCAAGATTCACCATATCTATATCTTCCTCT